GGGGGGGGGGGGTAAAATATTTTCCAGACATACCATTTTTCACTATAACTTTCAAATTAATATAACGTAATTCGTTAAATTTGCCGATAAATCCATCATTTTCCCGACAAGATGTTTTCAGGGGGTGTCACACCCCATCTCCCCCCTATATCGACGGCCAATGCGACGTCTGAAACCAGGTCCCACTTCGCACGGATTGCGAGCACACCGGTAGAATTTAAAGTTACGGTCGACTGAATTAGAAACGTCGAATTGAATTGTTTCACATTTGGATTTTGCACGTACATAGTTCAAGCTATTGAATTTGATACATGCAAAATGCGACCAGGACCGGGGATAGGGGGGGTGGGGTGGGGGGTGTGACCCCCCCCCCCAGAAATTGTATTGAGTCGGAAGGACTGCTATTCAGCCAGTAGGACTGCTATGTGGGTTAAATATTTTCGCGCAAAGGGCAAGATAGAGGTCAGAATTTTAGAAATATTTTTTGGATAAATGGACCCCTAAAACGGTACACTGACCGAAATTTTTTTGGCGACGGGGGGGAGGAGGTCGCCAAAAATAATGTCTTCCAAAAAAATTTTTTTCGGCACTGGTCGGTTGAAATGACCTTACACCCCCCCCTGAAAAATTCCCTGAGGACGGCCCTGAATGCGACGTTTGAAACAGGCCTCAGACATCAGAACATTGAATGTGATTGTACAATGTCGTAGAGACGTTTTGTAGTATATTTTAAAAATACATTCCAAAAGTGATTAGGTTTGATTAGATTACTAATTGATTGGAAAGTAAAACACACATAATTGAAAATTGTCATTAAGAATCAATAATTTACGATACCTGAAGTGTGGATCTCCACAGCCTGGAACTATATAATGTGGACAATGCAGACCTAAATTCATCTGTTTGATTAATTATCAATCATCGCCTATATCAAATCACAATCAATCAAGTTGAATCAAAATAGAATCAAATCAAAAAATGTAATAAGATGTATATGGATAAAGGAACTATAATATATATGACTGTCCGAATCAACCGTGTTGTCCATTTCCTTCAGTTACGTTGAAGGATTCCTTAAAATCTTCCGCAATTTCGGTTGCCAAAGGTCGACCAGGAACAGTTTCTGTTGAAACAACTTTCTCTGCAAGAAATTTGCGCGGTGGAGTTGTAAAAGTACTGGTTTGGGGAGTTGTAAGTGTTGAAGCTGTTTTCATATTTGGATCCACCAGTTTTGGTGCTAGGGAAAAAATAGGAAAAATAAATAATACTGCACAGAGCTCGGTTGCGCGAAGGACGGATAGCTATCCAAGCATGTTGATTAAGCAAGTAATCACTGTTTATCACTTGGATATAGAGAACATTCAACGAAATAAGATTCTTAATCGTTGGTTCCAGATGAATGACCGAGTGTCCATTGATGTCAACCGTTCGGTTGGTGGTAGCATCGACCGCACTTACACTCAACCATTTTTTTGTCTTCCATTTTGCATCATGTTATTTTTGAACGAGAGTCACGTGATAAACAGTGTGCAGTGATAACATTAATAAACAGTGTGCTGTGATAACATTAATGTTACGAGAAATTCTTAATTATTCCTCACTAACTAGATGGGCATTCCAGACAAATGTAAATGAAAACAAAATTTTCAAAACGCCGCATAACTCGCGCCCTGTATGTCCAATCATCATGGAATTTTCGGTATAGAATAGTATGAGATTATTCTTGCTTTTTAAGTAGCACATTGTGGAGAACAGATCTTTATCCGATTGTGACATATAGTCTTCGATTTGTAACTTAATCCATGAAGTTTGTTTCAGCTTGTTCCAGCGCCTGAATAATTGGCCTAATTGTATTAAGTGGCGACGAAAGAAATTGCCATCAGTTGACATGGTAAACACTAGCCTGCGTGGCAGACGATCAGCCCGACATAGAAGTATAGAACACCTAAAAGCAGGCAAGGCAAAGAGGCGAAAGACTGTCTGCTGGATTTGGCTATGTATTTAATTTATTTTATTCAATGGACCTTATGCATATATAACGACGTCACAAGGCTTGATGCCCGTGAGGAATGCTGGTCTTAGTAGCCATCGCCCGCGAAAATTTCGATAGTGGCCATTTTGAATTGTTTCAGTTTGCTTGAATCATATAAAGATCGATGGTACTTAAAAACAACAGAACATATAAAGTCCCTTATTAAGTCCCACCAAAACATTGCGGCAAGACAAAGATTACGTTGTAGGCCTACATATACAAAACTAAATTGAACAATTAACTGATTGGGGGGTAAATCCAAATTCGGCAAATTACATGCAAGCACTGTGGGTTTGGATTAGGGAAAATAACTTTGATTACACAACTTTTGCCTAAAACTGTCGCATGCAACCTGCTTACATACAACTTGAGTTGTATACTGTGTAAATCAAGCACACAACTCACCGATCGACGACAGCGTAGGCGAGGTGCATGTGTGCTTGATTTACACAGTACAACTCAAGTTGTAAAACGGCCTTTAGATTTCTCACTTGTACAGCCAGTGTTTAAATGAGAGCCCAATTCTTAAAGTAAAACGGTCTGTATAGAGAACTCAACAGATAAACATTCTTACCTTATAGAATCTCGTTTCAATTTCATTTTCCTTACACTTCAGTGCTTGTCTGGATAGCTTTTCATATTACTCTAGTCTTTCCTCTGACTATAATTGCAAAACAATACTACCGTTTGGCGTTTGCATTTGTAAAATTTTGCGCGATTGACTTTTTGCGATCGTTTTCCTTTGAAATATGTGCAGTCAACGGCAGGCAAGCACTCGCTCAAACAAATTTGAAATTCAGATTATGCCCGTGTATCTGTCCGTTAGGTGAAAAGCTTTTGAATATGCTGTTTGCATTACATAATAATTCAATTGAAATAAATACAGTAGGTCAAGTAATTGAAACAAAAGACTTCAAAAAGGTGTATAAAAAAACGAGACCTTTAGAGATCAAGCTATTGTTGTTAAACACAAGATTTTAAGCTCCTGGAAATTAAAAATAGCTTCTGATCGTATGAAGGAGCCGACGTGACTGGATAAAAAATGTCAAATTACTATTGGTCATCATTCCGAATAATAATGTTCAACTGACACTGAACAGAGCAACGAATTTTTACTGTTTTCCGCGATGCGTTAAATTAATCAGCACATGCATATAATTCATATGTTGGACGAAACCAAATTGAAGTTTTAATTAAAATCTACTAGTCTATTCTGTTCACTTCTATTCTGGGCACAGTTTTTATTTGTT